CGCCCTGAGCTTTGGCACTTTTTAAAAAGTAAAGGCAACAGGAAGAAGTCATGCGACTTGTCCGTAAGCAAATGGGGCAAACAGCAGTAAAAAAGAAGACACAAAATGTTTAATTTGCTGCCATTTATATACTATATAAATTTTACATGCTGTATATTTACAGTGGGGCAAGTGCTTTTTTAATCTTTAAAAAAACAAAGATCAAACTTTAGACATCTCTGAACAACACAAACTGTATAAACCATACAGATTATTCAGATACAAACTGTATTAAATACAGTTGTCCCCACTCCGTCTCCTGATGCAGGACCAGTGAATTATAAGTGTATCACAGTTTGATAGCATATCCATATTAAAAATAAAATCACAGTATGATTTTGTCTGTAACTAGAAACTTTTCAGGGACCAAGCTGATAACTCAGACTCCAATATCATAGTCAAGACAAGAGAAACTGTATAAAAAGTGTTATGTAATAAAAAACGTACTGTAGGCTTTACAAATAATGTCTGGATTATACATTCATAATGTAAATACTCATCATAACTGGTAAGTTGATTGGAATAGTTCCACAAAGTTCAAAAACAGAACTTGTCTATAAAATACACCTTCCAATCTTGAATAAACTGAAACATGAAGCACGTTCGTTTCTAGTATCAGACATTACAGAAAACACTGCTCTCGAGTCAGCTGAGAGCTCGTGGAGCTTAAATAGTCTTTAAATTAAATATGCACACTGTCAGCTGTTTGTACGTGAACAATCCCAGGGTCCCGGCTGGCCTTGCACCGGAGGTCTGATTGGAGGAGCATTACATGGAATACGAGAGATCAACCTGAGTCTGTGATTAAGCAGCATTGAGATGTTCTAGTCCAGGGCGTCACTTTTAATGTGATTTATATACACGTATTTTACAATGCTCAGCAGTTGTAGAAAGTGTTCGTCCATTTGGAATAAGGGTAATTAAGAAAAGGTAAAAACTAAAAAAGAAGTTCTCCATGGTAAAATCTGTACAGTATTTACTAAAGAAGCACCACGCAGATCTGAACAAAGTTATTTTCTATGTTTATAATGGAAGCTGGGTTGGGGATGGCTTCTGTTGGACATGTTGAATCTGAAAGACAAGAGGCAGGAAGCTGGAGCAGAGGGTCTAAGGAGCCCGCAGGCCTCGCTGTGGCACACGTCACACCAGGACTATCTGTGGACGCTCTTCCTTCCCGCACTGCCTGCCTTTCTGAATGGCTGTAACGGGACTGGGCGGTTCCAGACACACAGGCCAGACAGCAGGCAGCTCAGCACAAGGGCGCCATCTGCTGGGCATGGACCGTGCCCACCGAACCCCAACTGGCTAATCCGTCTCCACCCCTGAAGCCCTAAGCTAGGCTCAGGCCTTCCCGAGGACACACTGGTAAGTCATGTGGACTAACTGCACGTTAACCTTCTGTGGACACATCACTGAAGTGTGTGTTTAAGTCCCTCTCGCTGACCAGAGTTAGACATTTGGGCAAAATGGCTGCTTCCCCTTTCCCGCATCGAGGGCAGGTGCGAGACACGAGTCGTCTCCCATGTCAGCTGCGTGGCACTGACCAGGTTTGGATCTGCTCTAAAACACCTAAACCTCATTCAAATCAAGCAAACCCTTTTGTCGAAAATGGGGGGTGGGGCCAGACGCCTCTGATTTGTGGGTGTTCTGGCCCTGGTGTGTGTGGAGGGTGGAGATTCCAGGGGCCCCTCTCAGGCACCCGGGAGGTCTGGGTGGAGGAGGCTGGATTTTCCATCTCCAAACGTTTCCCTATTATTCTGACGCTTTAAATACCCTCGTTTTCTTACGAGGGAGGAAGGAGGGCTGGAGTGTCCCCGAGCCAGCACAGTGCCAGCCTGGAGGACAGGGTCCCCCACACCCGTGTCCCAAACTCTGTCCCCACAGTGCCTCTGCCAACAGTCATGGGTAGACGGACGTGAAAACAGCTTACCATAACTAGTGAATTCTTTGTTTGAGGCCAAGCTTTCAGTCACCTAGAACGCAAGCAAAGGTTAAGAGACAGTTTAATGGTCTCATGGTGTCTGGTCCTGTGCCGAGCGCGCGGCAGGCTCACAGTTCCACGGGAAATAAGGCCACACCAGGCCCAGGGTGCGCAGGGGTGTGCGGAGGGGGCCCTTTCTCCGGGGGTTAGGGAAGACAGTCGCCGCGGGGAGAAGCCGGGAAAGCCACGCACGCCCGAGGACATGGTCGTCAGCCTTGTCACATGAGGAGGGGCAGGCTTTACACCAGAGACAGCGAGGCTGAAGGACAGGTCAGCGGTCAAGGCACCAGGACAGAGGACACGTGTCCCAACAGTTGACGGGGATGCTTGAAGGCCAGGTGACTGGCCCTTCTTGAGGGGACAGGCGGGGACAGTGCGGGGCTGCTCAGAGTGGAAGTGCTGGAGCGGGGACAGGACCACCGGCCTGACAGCAGCCCCTGGAGACAGAGCAGAGCTGCACACGCCACCAGCGAGGTGGGCACTCGGCCTCCCCCCCTCCAGGGCCCTGGGCGGCCCCACCCCCTGCGGAGGAGTCTGGCAACCGTGTGCGCTGCCTGGGACCCGTGCACACAGCCCCTCCCTGCGCGAGGGAGAGGGACTTCCCCCGACACTGACATGTTCACAGGAAACCAATCTGAAGGGACACATATTAATCCCTTAAAAACAGCAAATACCACTTCAGCTCCACTTTCTTGCTGCCGAGGGCTGCAAGCTCCCACCACACTCACCCTCCTGATGGGACACGCCATGCCTCGCGGTACTGTTCTCTCCTCGCCAACACTGGGGCCCAGGTGCCCTCCTAGCCAACCATCACAGGCTGACCGCCCCCCACAGGTCACCTCGGCCGAGCCCAGGACACTGTCAGGAACCAAAAGGCCTCTGGGCAACCAGGGTGACAGTCACAGGAGGACACCTCGGGGTCCAGGGCGGTCAGCAAACTCTCCACAAAAAGCCGTAAAAGCTGGGCTGTGCTCCACTGCACTCTACACACCGACATTGCAATTTCATATACTTTTCATGGGAAATGGAATCTTCTTTGGACTTTTCCAACCACTTGAGATGTTGAAGCCATTCTAACTGGCTGGTCCTGCCCCGGGCTGCGGTTCGCGGCCGCTCTGGGGCGCTGCCTACATCACGCTTTCTCGCAGGCTCCATGCTGCTCGCCAGGGGCAAAGGTCACTGGCACAGATTAGAAGGGGCGAGGAGGGGGCAGCTTTAAGTGCAATTAGCGACAGAAAGGACCACACCATTACAGGGGCAGAGCTGTGCAGAGCAGACAAGACCGGACACCCAGAGTGATCCACTCCCCAGGAGCCAGAGCCCCGCACGACAGGTGCGACAGCTGACGTCCCTAATGACCCAAGTCATCACACTGACTCCTAGGCTATGCTCAGAACGCCCGAGGTCTAAGGATTCCGGAGAGAAGAATATAAAAATGGCCTGAAAAGGAAAGTTCTGGCCCTTCCCGAGGAAAATGGTACCTGGAGCCCTAAATTCCAGGTGTGTATCAGGTTCTGTGAGGCCTGGTCCATGTAACCGGGGCTCCCCAAAATGCTAAGGGGGCCATGCTCCATGCCGCCCTCAAGGTGGGGGGTGGAGAAAGCGGGTGGGAGGGGCTCCTGCTGAAGCGTGTCCTCCCCCCCCCCGCCCCCCCCCCCGTGCCATTGGGCCTTCCTCCCAGGTGTCAATCCCCTTTTCTAAAAAGACCAGCTCCTACATTCTTAAGTCCAAGTATCTCCTCTTACCCTGGCCACACTCAGACAGATGACACCTGTCATCCCTGCTGTCCATCCTTAAACGTTTTGTTTTCTCTCGGAAAGGTCCAGCGCCTTCCAGAGGCAGGCCGTCGGTGAGGGGGGGGCTGCCGTCGGCTCTCCGGAAGCGGTCAAGAGCCTCAGAGCTGGCGGCCTTAGCTAAGTGCAGTCCTGAGTCTCGCCCACAGTCCTCCGATTTCCTTGAGTGTCTCTTCTTTTTCTTCTTCTTCTTCCTGTGTCTGTGGAGGTCAGCATCCGAGCATGCTGCCGAGAGATCCGAGTCCTGCTGATGCCTGCGGGAGAATAAGCCAGAACTCAAACCACCACCAAACAGCCACCTTGACGAGAGCCGGCCCTTGGCTTTTCCACCCACACTGTGGACACTCATGATGCAAATGCAGGTAAAATCTTTGTCTGATTTAAAATGCACTGGAAGGATCTCTTAAAGTCCAGGCCATAAATAACCCACTGAAACCCCTCCCACCGCTGCCGTTAGCTTTGCTCAGGCCCTAAGGCAGTGATGGCGAACCTTTTGAGCTCGGCGTGTCAGCATTTTGAAAAACTCTAACTTAACTCTGGTGCCGTGTCACATATAGAAACTTTTTTGATATTTGCAACCATAGTAAAACAAAGACTTATATTTTTGATATTTTATATACTTAAATGCCATTTAACAAAGAAAAATCAACCAAAAAAATGAGTTCGCGTGTCACCTCTGACACGCGTGTCATAGGTTCGCCATCACTGCCTTAAGGTGTTCGGCCAAAATCCCTGAGGCAGGACCGACCGAGCTGCTTCTCCTGAACCTGGTGGCTGAGGGAGAAGCCCTCCTGCAGGTGCCAGCCACATGGGGTGCCGGCGAGCCCCTTGCCCCCAGGAACCACTATTTACCAAGGGCTCATGGTATTGTTTTCCCAAGGCTGCAATTCTAAGGGTGTCAAAGGTATACAGTATAAGATGTGTGAGTAATTCTGTTTGTGCTCATTCGTGTCATCACAGATAAGTCATTTCCAGGACACTCACTGGCCAATTTAGCTTTTTCAAAATACAAAAACATATTTCCCAGTTAGATTTCAAATTGAGAAATGGAGACAGAGAAACAGACAAAAACAAAGGCAACAAAAGATGCGTCTCAGATCCCACTTAGGGCGGGAAGTGTCAATGCCACTGCGGCCTCCCGTTCTGTCACCTGGCAGCCAGGAGGTTGAAGGAAGTATGAACAGACGTGACAATAAGTACATCCGACCAGGAAGGGTGCTAGCGCCAGCGGTGAAGGCAAAGCCCTCGAGCCTTCCTGTCCAGCGCATCGCATGCTTACTCCTAAGGCGTAAGCATTCACATGAGGATGTTTGAAAAATGAGGTTGGTCGGCATTTTATGATCCTGTAAAGTAAGATACAGCTTAAAAGCAGAGCTAAATTTTAGAAATCTGTAAAAACCATGAAATCTCAGAATCCACAGATGAGGAATACAAATCAGACCACCACGCCCCGCCCCACCTGTCGCTGATCGGGTCGGAGACAGCGGAGCCGAGGCGGCAACCCCACCGCAGCCGAGCGCAGCCACGCCCTCACCTGGAGTCTCGCTCTCGGTGTTTGTCTTTGGATTTCTTTTTCTTCTTTGACTTTTTGTGCTTCTTCACTTTAGGTTCTTCTAAAGGGTCCCTCTGTACGCTTCTCCAGGCTTTCTTTTCTACGTGGGTGTCGCCATGTTCTATACTATCGTACCTCCGTTTGTGTGACTTCACATTTTCGTGGTCATGAAAGCGATCAGCGAGGTGACAGCTGCTGCCTTCAGGTGCAAGTGCAATCTTCTCGGCGGACTTCTCAGGGTGGGGCGGCAGGGCGTGGGGGGGGCCCGCCCGGGGGCCGCTCAAGTGGTGCCGTTCCCTCTCTTTGGCACCCAGCTCGTAGCCCTTCCTGCTTTTATAGTCCTTGTAGGGCCGGCCGCCGTACTGACCCACACGGTCATAGTCTCGGTCATAGTCTCGGTCCCCGTGCAAAGGCCTCCACTCCCACGCCTCCCTGGCCGTGTACGGGGCGTACCTGTCGTGGTAATACCTGCATTTGTCCCACCTCGTTCTGTCCAGGTAGTACTTCTCCCGGCCCCAGGAGTGCTCGCTTTCCGAGTGGTGGTACCTGCTCCAGTCGTGGTCGGACCCGCCTCTGCTCCGGGAGTGGTGGTGGCGGTGCCGGGCCAGGCCGCGGTGCTCGCAGGCGTGGTGCGGGCCCCCGCTGCAGTGCTCGGGCCGGCGCCCCTGCAGGGTGCGCTCGCGCGTGTAGGAGTGCCGCCGCCGGCGGTAACGGTCCTCGGTCTGGCTCCTGCTGTCCCGCGCGTGTTCCCCGCTGGACGAGCGGTCCCTCCGGGTGCGATAGTGTCCTCGGTCAACCTTGCGGAGGCTGCTGATCTTCTCCTTCACCGGAGACCGGGCCTGGCCTTTCTGCCCAGCCTTGTTTTCTTCACGTGGCTCCCCGGGGCTTTGCTCGGGAGCCCCAACCCCTTCTGAATGGTTTTCCGTGACTTTGTCCAACTGAGAAGAGGGCGGCTCGTCTGTAGGCGCCTCCGAGATTTTAGAAACGTCTGAGACTTTAGAAACGTCTTCCGCATCCGTACACTGGTCTCGGCTGCCGTGGACGGAGGGCTCCTGCTCGCCGTCACCCTCGGGACATGCCGCGGGGCTCGGGCTCAGCCTCCCCGTGGCGTCCCCTGCTGCCGAGTCCCGGGGACTCTCTGCTAACGTCCCCGTTGTATCCTGGGACGCTCTGCTCTCCTCCCCTGTTCCATTCCCAGGGTCGCACAGTTTAGAGAGGGAGTCGTCCCCAGCGGTGTTCTTGTTGGCGTTACAAAGGTGGTTGACACTGGGCACGGACTCCTCGGGTTTTGCTGAAATGCTCTCAGGGACTTGTTCTTTGGTAGATGTAGACTGGATGCCGGGGTCCGGGAGCGGCGAAGCCTTCTTCAGTTTGCTGCTAAGACCCGTGGCCGTCTCCAGTTCCTCCCGGGAGTCAGGAGTGGGGCTGCCGGGCTCCAGTCCTGCCTCAGGATGCTCTGTCTGGCTCCCGTCTGTTCCAGGTGCACTGCAGCCCGACCAAAACAAATAACAAATTAGTCATTCGCCAGATTGCTTTACGGGTTACTGTCATTGGCTCACAGAGACAAACACTTCAAAACAGCCATTTACTAAGTGTTTTATGCCTTTAATATATCTGGTTGAAACCCAATAGTGAACTTACCGTTTTCTGAAACGTCAAACTGTCCTTCCCTCGTTAAGTAAAAATATAAAATGTTCTATCAAGCCCATCTCCTATCCATTCTTTAGCAACAACCATGCTGAGGTTCTAGGCCGCTTCTGTTCCCAGGGGGACTCGCCTCCTTCACAACTAAGTCTGAACGTCCAACCGGTCAGATGACAGGGGAGGCTCGACTGTTCCTCTGGACCCCTTTCCACCCCACAGGGCCGAGCTCCTGCAGTGACTCAGCATCGGTGAGGGGTCACTGGGCTTCGGGAAGCGAGCTCTGCCCTTGATCGCTGGGAGCTGCGATGGACGTGAGGTTAATGAAAGCTGCCAAGAGACCTCAGAACCCGACAGGGGCCCCACTTTTCGCAGGACGGTGTCTGGGAGAGGGTATACATACGAGGTCACTACACGTTTTCTAGAGCGTGGCAGTGAGATTCTCAAGTCAGCACGTGGCGCAACACACCGGTTACGCTCCACGCACGGCCTGGCTCACGCAGCGAGCTGTGGTCACTCCCATGCACATACGTGTGCGGACACGCTGAGCTAGACTAGGGCCGTAACAGGGGGACCTGTATGCCCGTGACTGGTGCTCACGCTGTTCCATCTTCCAGGGAGCCCAGGGCTGGGCGTTCCCTGCCTCCAGGATTGACTCCACTCCCCCGGCTCCGCCAGCCTTCCCTGCAGTGGCCAGTGAGGCAGCACTGCCAGGGCCATTCGGAAAACGGGGCATTTCTGGGTTGTCACAATGACGGGGAGCCCCGCTGGCACTAGCAGGCAGGGGAGAGGCAGGCAGGCCCACGGAACAGGCGAGTGCCCTGTGACAGGCAGCTCCAGGGAAACGAGCTTTTCCAGGAACACAGCTAGCGGGTCTGAACGTGTCACTTAAGCTGCCGCCACGAGGACTCATTTCCCTGGTGGTGGCTGCGTGTGGCGTGGGGCTCCCGACCTCAGGCCGCACTTTACGCTGTCACATCGCAGCAAACCCGGCCCCGCTCGTTGCTGCCTCTCGTAGTGCAGGCTCGCCTGGCTGCTACATGTTGAAATACAGCTGCATTACACATTCCTTTCCTCCTATTCCCATTACATTTAGGTCAATATCCTGGTTTTTTTAAATGACAACGTGGAAGCGGGACTATCTTTTCCATAAATTTGGTTTCAGAATTCTGGAGGGGGCAAGACCAAACATGTGCTGCCGACAGCTGAGAACCACGGCCCTGTCCTGGGCGGAGGACGTGGGCGGGCCAGGTGCCCAGGCAGCAGTGTGCTGACGACAGCCCTGAGGAGGACACGCTAGCTGAGGGCAGCAAGCTTTCCTGGACTATCAGCTGATACATTTTTCTTTACTTTTTACAAAAGCAAATGAACAAATGCCATAGATCATTCAAGTCATCCCAGGAGTCAAGACATGTACAGAGTTAAACTAGTGACAGGCCCAGGACACCACTGGGATTTCCTCCTGAGTCACTGTTACCTTGTCTCATCCGTCGAGCCTTTCCCTTTGTTGCCGAGCTTGAAAGTCTCTAAGATTTTGTCTTCCGGGAGAGGTGGCAAAGGAGCGGGCATCAACTACAATAGAAAAACAAAGATGCTCCAACTCTAGTCGCTACTCCCCACCTCCTGAAGTCTAGCCAGCGACCCGCCCACCCCCGCCCAACCCCACTCACCTTTCCAGGGAGACCATTTGCCTTAGAAAAGGGGTTTTCTGAGTGTAGGTCAGGCTGGACTTGGCAGCTGGCACCATCGAAGGACAGACCGTTCTCTTCCGGGTCACTGTCTGTACTGACATTAGCACCATTTAGAGTCACAGGTTCTCGAAGCTCGTGCTGAGAGGCCTCGTCAGCTTCAGCATCCAGAGCAGAAGAGTTCGAGCTCTCGACCGTGCCCAGCCCGTTCTCCCTGCCGAGGCCCTTGGCCTCCTCGTCAGACTCTTCCGAAGACTCGGCACCGTAGGGGACCAGGACGCTGGAGTTCAGCTTGGACTTGCCGTTCATCACTGGCTTGGAGCAGGACTCACTCGGGGCCGTCGGCTTTGTGACTTTACTGGGAACTGACGTGGTGGGTGCACTCGAGGTAGACTGTATTGCAGAAGAAGTGGTAATGGTAGAAGAGGGAACAGGCTTGGTAGGGTTCTCCAAACCATTGTTGTGAAGGTTAGGCTGAGACTGACCTTGGCGAACAGGTAACTTGTTGTGAATACTGATGGTGATTTTTTGTTTCTTGGGATGTTCCGGGATAACTGAGGCCCTGTTAACTGACCAGTTTTGAACAGAAGTTGAAGCGTTAACAGCACCAGCCCTGCTGACATTGGAATTTCCATTAGGACTCGACACGGAGCTGCTGGGCGTTTCTTTCAAGGGTCCGGTCCCATTCAAGTGGGGTGGGTTCTGGAAGCAAGAAGACCACAGCCCTGGTGAGCATTCCAGAGAGTCACAGGCAGAGAACCCACTCTGGCTACAGACCCTTCCCAGGGGGTCTTTTTCTTTTTATAAATTACAAGCTTTACACACCTAGAAACACCCCCTCTCCTCACCCACTCCTGCCTGCACAAACCTTTCACAGGTCATCGTTTTCTGATAATTAAGCAACAAACAGCGACAACTATTTTTGCCCAGAAAACATGGCCCAGACCATATTCTTTCTGCTCCAATCGGGCAGAGTGAACAGGCCCCTTTGAGTAGTCTCATATGTTCTCCTTGGTTTTCTTGGAAGCCCAGAGCTGTACAAGCAGAAGGAAGTGCCAGCCAGCAGGGAACGGCCGTTGGCCATGGTAGCTAGGGAGCTGGTCACGTGGGCAGACAGAGAAGAGTGCCTTCAGGCACCACTGGCCCGCCCATCCCCTCCCCCAACAATATCTCTGAATCTCAGATTCCAACTACTGCTGCTACACCCTAGAGGCTGCAAACTGGAGGTCATGGGTGAAATCTCGTTCACAGATGAATTCTGTTTGGCCTTCACAATGTTTTCTTAAATATCTGAATTAGTTCCTATCTTAACATTGAAAGGTTTCATGGGGTGGGGGTGGCGGGAGGAGACTCTTGAAAAATCAGTAGCAGCCACCGCTCAGCATAGGGCATGTGCTCTCCTGATGTCACCCTCACGAAGAGTCCAATTCAGGAGCCTGCTGCCTGCCCAGCTCCCAGAGGCCTTAGAGGTATAACTCCTGCCATAATCCACACACTGCCCCACGTCCACAGGACACAGCACACAACTGGACAATCTGCTGGTTCAAAACCAAAGGAACTCGAACTGAAAGGCTGTTAACACACTGCAGCACAGAGGACAGGGATTATTCCAACATGTGGACAAGCCGTCCGCGACCTCACACGGAAGTCTACCAAAAGGTGGGCCTCGGTTCCACAAAGCGTCTCAAGGCCCAGGCCTGCCGTCAGTTCTCCCCAAGAGGCCACCTGGAAGTGTGGCCTCACCCAGCTGGACACAGAAAGCGCCACACTCGTGAAAGGGCTGAGCAGACATAATGAAAGTGTCCTGTCGGTTCGGGGCCACTTTCCTGCAGTCCAGCATTAATAAGGGTCCCCAAGTATTTCATCAAGTGAATGGAAGTCCAGCACGAGAGCTAAACTCTCTAGCGTTTAAATACCCTTATACCCAGGATCTGCTTCTTCACCAATACATCCATACTCTGCGATGTGCTGTGCACTTGAAATATTTTATAATGAACCAGTGGCCCAGTGCACGGATTCATGCACATTGAAAGGAAATTAGAAGAAAGATTCATGTGGTAATTACGTTACTGCAAAAAATTACAAGTCAAAATAGTACATATAATATAGTATTATAAAATTAAGACACGCGTGTGATTGGCACCAGCGAGAGCTTTATATGTATCGTGCATGCGCCAGTCAACATTGATTTTCAAACGAGAGGCCCGGTGCACGAAATTCATACATGGGTGCAGTCCCTAGGCCTGGCCGGTGATCAAAGTGCGAGCATCTGGCATGGAAGGGTAGGTCCCAGCTGATCTCTGGGCCCTGGGCAGCACCTGGGTTCCCGCGCGCCCCCCTCCGCCTGAGTTATGGCGCCTGAGTCCCCTCGCGGAGATGCAGTGAGCACGGCCAGATTCCGCAGGCCCGGGTGCAGTGTGGGGGCCTCTGGTCCGCCCAGCGATGCCACACAGAAGCTAGGTGGGCAGCACACTCTCTCCTGGCCGGCCTCGCAGACTGGCTCCTATGCAAACCCACGGGGAGCCCGACCAGCCCCTGTGGTCCTGGCGGCTTCAGCCCGGCTCAACTGGAAGAGGCTGCACTGGTACAGGGCAGGCTCCTCACGGGCACCCAGCACCTGAGCATGGGGGCTTCCCCGGCACACGAGCCCTGGCGTCCCAGGGGAGGGTACTAGAGGGAGTAAAAGCGAGCTTGGCGGACACCCCACATTCTCACCGCACCTCCGTCCCCATCATCCCCGCCCCCAGGTAGCCAGCGAGAGATCACAGCATGTCTCCAACGCCTGCCATGTTCCGTGCCACCCATTGGTGGTCAGCACACATCATAGTGAGCTGTCGAACTCCCTGTCTCCTGGTTGAACCACCTGAGGGGACAATTTGCATATTGGGCTTTTATTATATAGGATTGCCAGTACACATCATATGTACCGGCCTGTCGGTGAATAAATCGCGATGTGGTTCATGTTGAATGTCAACAAAAACCACCAAATTCACGATCGACAATGACAGATCAAAACACATGCGTGCGATTTGCACCAGTGAAAGCTTTATATGTATCACACATGCACAAGTCAATGTTTATTTTTAAATTGCCAGTGCACATCGTATGTACCGGCTGGTCGGTCCGACGTCAGACAGACGGATGGTGGGTCACTTAGCCTTTTATATAAATAGATGGCTTGAATATACTATTTTGACAAAAAATTCATTTGCATACGAGGCCATGGCAACTACTGCAATGCTAGCCTGAAGGTTTGAATGATACATTTTTAAATTAACATAAAGATTACATTCTCTCTATGGAAGAGAGTTACCTTTATCATGTGAGAAGGAAGCTGTGGTCCGATGAACCCTGACGTGGCCTGTTTGTTATTGACGACACGCTGACTGATTACAGGTCGGGGAGAGGACTGGCCGGGGCTGTGGGCGGAATGAGTAAGTTCACCTCCATTTTTCACATCATGGGACCTGGGGACAGAGAGTGACATTGCTTAGGGTCACACAGGACATCTCCTTAGAAGAGATTCATTTATGACTCAGGTAACAGACCAACCTGCTGCAGCGAACAGAGCTGCACATGGGTTTTTAGGTCAAGGTCAATGTCAGGTGCTCAGATTGGGAGATCACCAGGGTAATTGGGCAAATGGTACTCTTTAAAAAATATTTTTATTGATTTCAGAGAGGGAGAGGGAGAGAGATAGAAACATCAATATGAGAATCATTGATCAGCTGCCTCCTGCACGCCTCCTACTGAGTATTGAGCCCTCAACCAGGGCATGTGAATTGAATCGTGACCTCCTGGTCCATAGATCGATGCTCAAGCACTGTGCTGCATCTCACCCCTTAGAGCAGTGGTTCTCAACCTTCCTAATGCTGCGACCCTTTAACACAGTTCCTCATGTTGTGGTGACCCCCAACCATAAAATTATTTTCATTGCTACTTCATAACTGTAATTTTGCTACTGTTATGAATCATAATGTAAATATCTGATATGCAGGATGTATTTTCATTGTTACAAATTGAACATAATTAAAGCATAGTGATTAATCACAAAACAATATGTAATTATATATGTGTTTTCCGATGGTCTTAGTCGACCCCTGTGAAAGGGTCATTCGACCCCCAAAGGGGTCGCGACCCACAGGTCGAGAACCGCTGCCTTAGAGGCACCTGCTATTCAGATTTAAGAGTATCTTCTACACCAGCAGTCACCAACCGGTGGTCTGTGAGGTCCGAAAGGTTGGCGACCGCTGCTCTACACTTTAGCCTATACTGGTTTTTCAACAGTATAACATTTCAAACTGCTTTTTCCGCCATATTTATTGAGCACATTCTCATGTCAACAAAAAAAAAAAAAAAAAAAAAAAAAAAAGTTTCATACAAATCACTTTTAACAACTGCATATTTCAACATATGGATTTGCTATAATTTATCTGATCATTCTATGACTGATCAGCTGTTACAAATGAATACCTTGAAGCACACCTCAGTTTCTCCAAGGCCACGCCCTTCCAGCAATGGAATGAGCGAAACAGTCTTCAGCAAGAGCAGGAGAGAAATGAGCAGAGGTGCTGGCACTGCCCAGGCTGATCCAGGAAGGTGGCTGCCCGCCTGTGCTCAGCAGCTGAGAGGGGACCACACCCAGTGCTCTGAGCCCCTTCCCGAGGCCGCCACAGCCCCCAGGTCACCCAGTGTGAGGCCAGCAGCAGAAGCCTGCCCTCCTCAGCCATCGCCTTTCCCTTCCTCTGAATGTGTCTGTGATTAAACTGCCGAACAGCTGGAAGCTAATGCACACTCAGGACCCACCCGCAAAAGCCCATCCTTACGCTCCCAAGCTTCAAGCCGCAGTTCTAAAAAGAACCCAGTAAGGATCCACATTAAGTGAATTTAAATATGTTGATGAGATGAACAGAAATAAAATAGCAGAAAACTTGAGAATCTGTTCTCCTGACAATACCTGATATAAAAGAGAACATACGCTTGTTGACTGAGTACCGATCTGATATCACTGGTAGATACGATGGAGTCATTCATCTGATACCAGAGACCATTGCTAGCCTGCAAGAGCCAATAAAAGAGAGATTCAATATGACTATGGAAACAGGGAACACTGAGCCAGAGAAATGTAAGAAAAATGCAATTGCACATTTTAACTGTAAAAGTCTCACCTTCCCCCCAAGAACACCAGTGCTCCCTTACAGTGTATTGTAAATAAAAGACATTAGCAAATCCACACCGCTTACCTTTATGTAGCAGAAGTAATGGCCGGCGTGGCAGTTAAAACCAGTGTGTACCAGTACTGCATATAAGACATAAATAATCGGTTCTCCGTTTGGTTGAGACATGTATGGTCGAATATCAAGATATTCCGGATATTTTACATCCTAAACAGAAACGGGAGGAGGAAAAGGAGCATTGTTTCTGGAAGCACAGATCATTCCACGTGTTTGGGTAAGGGGTACGTAGGGGCGGTGTAGGGCAGGATACCTGCAGATCACTATGCTCTATGATATTCTGGCAGAAACCTAATTCATTGAACCCCATTTCAAAAGACATGATGATCCTGAAACATATTTGAATCTAAGTGTGTTTAATGCAATCCCACTGTATTCTTTATTTTCTTTGAACAATTAAGGATCCATATTAAGTGAATTCTTCAAATTAATCAAAAGAGACAGTTATAGAATGACAATTCTGGGCTTTCATCATCACTTATTTTTATTTTTAATAATTCAGGAATGGATTATTTATTTCTTTTGCATGTCACTGGCTTTTTTACCACTTTTAATCTTCAGAAAGTGGAAAGGAAATGGGGAAATCAATGTATTACCAATCAGAAAACAACCAACCAAGAAAACCAACTTGGAAGAGTGGCCAGACACAGCAGGATTTCAAACGACACACTCTCTCTACCTCACTGACTATGGAGTTCAACTCAGATAAGTTACCAACTTTATCATCAGAAAGTCTAACCAGCTATAGGATATAGAACCACACCCACCCTCATAAACACACAAAATACACTACTGGCTCAATGCTTTGACATTTTCCTCCCATTACCAAGTGCTGGAAGAATTCAGAAAATCAGGTAACAAAACTGTTCAGTTAGATTGTTTATAACCCCGTAACAGCTAATGACACTGAGCCCTGAAAGGCTCGGCGTAAAGGTTACTAATGTCTACAAACCTTAGCAATTTTCCCGCCAGTAAAATTGGCAAAGCGTTTCAGAGAAAGTGTGAGAACATTGGAGGATCTGTGTATGGTGAATCTCTTTGAAGCTGGAACCATCTTTTTACATCTTGAAATAAACAGAAACAAATAATTAAGATTAAATATGTTTTTTGTATTTTAGCCTTTCCCTTGTTATTTCTCTAAACATTCTAAATTAAGTTTCCAAAGGGTACTAGATGAGAAAAACAACCCTTTCAACCAACAGTGAAAATACAAAACTTTAAAATACAGAGAAACTGCTTAATTAGCATGACAGGGACAGGAAGCTGGGATAATTCTGAGCTGATAACCACACGGGTCACTGATATTCTCAAATTAGGTTAATACAAGTTTCTGTCAACTCAAAACAAACTGAAAAACAAACAGATTTCCAGGCTGGTATAATTCTGTGAAAACAAAGACCTATCAGATACAAAAGGAAGAAACCTAATGATTAGAAATGTCCATGGAGTTTAACACAGAGAAACCCCTGTGGCTCGGACAGAAGGGAGCCTTCTTCCCACAAAATGAGTATTTGATAAGAACAAGTATCACCTGACTCTAAAATGAAACTCTACTTAAACATACAACGCAAGGCTTTCTGAAAACAGGCAGTCTTGACTTCAGGGGGAAACACAGTGAGAAATAATCAAAATTAAGAGGTTTCTAGTAGACACCACCAGCAATCCTGGTAAGACCCACAGAGAAGGTCCAAGGAGAAGTGGCTGCCCTCTAGCCCGCCCTTTCCAACAGAGCGGATGACAACACCGCTGCTGGGCTTACCTCTGCTCTCCCTGCACCCCCCCAGCAGTGAGACCCACATCTCCTAGAGAGGACACGCCTTGGCCCTGGAGGACAGAGATGCAGTGTCTCCCCAGATGGCATCGGCAGCTAAGGGACCTTTCCCACCCGGGCGGCACCCTGTCGTACTTGCTGCACTTGTACGAGTTCTCGCCGTCCAGCTGCTCGGGCTTCACAAACTGCTCCAGCGCCTTGTTCACACTCTGAGCAGCCTGGGAAGAGAAGGCAGCACACGTTACCTCTCACTGCCGTGAACCAAGAAGTCACTGGTTTGATTCCTGGTCAGGGCACAAGCCCAGGTGTGGGCTCATTCCCCAGTAGGGGACGTGCAGAAGGCAGCCGATCCATGTTGTCTCTCTCTCTCCCTCTTCCTTTCTCTCTCAAATCAATTTTTAAAAAAGGAAATGTTCTTTTACTATGGCATTCATTTTTATATGTGGACACATCAAGTTATTTCCCCTCCCATTAAAAATGATCAGATTAGCCGAAACTGGTTTGGCTCAGTGGATAGAGCGTCGGCCTGCGGACTGAAAGGTCCCAGGTTCGATTCCGGTCAAGGGCATGTACCTTGGTTGTGGGTACATCCCCAGGGGGTGTGCAAGAGGCAGCTGATCGATGTTTCTCTCTCATTGATGTTTCTAACTCTTTATCCCTCTTCCTTCCTCTCGGTAAAAAATCAATAAAATATATATTTCTAAAAATAAATAAAATAAAATAGTCTAAAAACGGAAACAAACCAAGTATCTACCAGCTTGGAATCGGGCATGGGAACTGGTCTATCCACTCACTGGACCATCACATAAACGCCAAGCAGATTGGAAGGAAAACAGCAAGTGGTCAGAGGTGAGGTGTGACCCCATGTGTAGAAGCAGTAAATAACACTCTGGGACAGGGTGTATCAGAGACAGGAACAGCTCATTCTGCAGGACGGACCATATGTATCTGCAATATTTCTCATTTATCATAAACACGTTACATTCGAAATCAGAAAAAATAAAGCTTCAGAACAACAACAAAATGAGACTTTAGATCAGGCAGGAAGCAAAACAATTTCTAAATAATAACCACCAGCTACTTTGGCTAATAGAGTTATCAGGATCTGATTTTATTAAGATTTATTAAGTGAAACATCAAAAGGTAATAAAAAGATAAGGTGTTTTAAGATTATGATGCCGACTACAAAGTTCAAATAATCACCTGTACATAAGCCTTGGCATATTAAAATTTTAAATTCATGTTCTCTAACAAGTCAGTCTTAATTGTAAGTGAACTACAAATACATGAAGTTATGTCAAGTCTAACTGGTTTTTAAACTTCACTGTCACAACAATGATCCAGCTTACCTTGATCTCCAGTGTTATATCGAGATACGGGTCAAAAGTATCTGAAACGCCTTTGCAATTTAAACATTTGACTGAAATAAAAACAAAATGCAAAGATAAGCAGAGTGCAATCGTTATGGCATCCCAACTGTTAAGATGACTGAACACAAAATACTATTACAAATAAAAAATTAAAACAAGGTACAGTTTCTCCTATCAGATTGGGCAAAAAATGTTAATACTACACAGTGTGGATCTGAGTGCCATGAATCTGGCTCCCACACACTGTTGGTTGGAATGTAAGCTGGTATAACCTCTGGAAGGATGACATGCGGTGTCAGATTACATACCAGCCTTTTATGCAGAAATTCTAATGCTAAGAATTTATCCTATATACACTTTTACATGGACATAAAGGCATGTGCACAAGGATATTCATGAGCATTGATGATCATTTAAAAATTAGAAGTGCCCTAACCGGTTTGGCTCAGTGGATAGAGCGTCGGCCTGCGGACTGAAGGGTCCCAGGTTTGATTCCAGTCAAGGGCATGTACCTTGGTTGCAGGCATATCCCCAGTAGTTCCTTTCCCTTCCTCTCTGTGAAAAATCAATAAAATATATTTTTTAAAATAAATAAATAAATAATATAAATAAAAATTAGAAGTGACCTAAGTACTCCTCGATAGGGGACTAAAATAAATGGAAAACAATGCAACTGTGCGAGACAAGTTAGACCTGCGTGTGCTGAAGTGTAAGAACACTTTTACGTTAGGAGAAACTGAAAGGGCATACCTAACAGCTCCGTCTGCTCACGCACAGGAAGCCACTGGAAGGACACCAGAAGCTAGCGTGGGGCTGAGAGGGGGACGGGAGTCTGGGCTGGATGGAGGACACACTTCCATTCTTAATCCTTTCTACAGTTGGCTTTTTTTAACCATATGCATGGATCATCTTATCAACTTTTTAAAAAATTCTCTTTATTTATTTATTTCTTAATTCTCTCCTGAGGATATGTTTTTTATTTACTTAAGAGAGAGGGAAGGGAGAGGGAGAGAGAGTGAAACATCAATGTGAGAGAGAGACACATAGATCGGTTGCCAATCAAGGACTGAACCTGCAATCTAGATATGTGCCTGACTGGGACTCAAACCTGCGACCTTCCAATGCATGGGACGCCCAGGATGACACTCCAACCAACTGAACCACACTGGCCAGGGCCACTTTAATAAAAGTTTTAAATGAAAGTTTACCTCTAGATCTCAGGTATCCTCCAAATATCTGACAAACGAGCGTGGTAGCCTGGGTGTGTCTGTCTAATCTGAAAAACAGTCAGACAGTGACGTGAGAGAAGATTCTACAGAAACTACATATGCTACACGAGATCTCAAAGCACACACATCTACAGAAGAGCAAGAATTCAGACGGATTAAGGAGACGTCAGTACTTACTTATTGCTGCCATTCAAGCACGCCTTTTGCATAGCATCAACAGTGTATTGAAGGAATTCATGGGCATCTTCTTGGTTTCCAAAACGGAAGTGCCTAGCTATACCTATGAAGTGTAAGACAAAGCTTTATCATCACCCAAGAGGCCCAGGCGGTAACCCCCAAAAGTTGTATCTTATGATAATACGTTAGTTAGAAAACACCTGATAATCATTATATGGGGAAACAGTACTAATACCAGCTATTCTGAGAAGAGTTAGACGATTAAAAGTCCACATGGACTAGAGTTTGAAAGCCCAGAGAGGAGGCACAGAGATGCTATCCACGGCTTTAGTGAGTTAGTGAAGTTGTACTTGAATAAATTCAACTTTAGCTATATTGCCTCAAAATTTGTCCACAATGTTATGTTATTACACACATCTTAAATTTGGTGCTAATCTCCCTAAGTCTAAGAGAATCCATGCAGAACACATCAATGTCAAAACCTATCCAAATTCTATCCTGATAACCATGTATGTGTGTGTGTGGGTGTGTGTATATGTACATTCATGGATGTAAGTACACACAAACACACAGAAATTACATTTTCTTAAAGATTTAGGTTGAAAAGTGTTAATCATGCCTTATATTTATTTATTTATCATATATTTATTAATTAAACAACAAAAAAATCATCCTCAGCTAAAATTTTGCCAGGATCCAATGATGTTTAAAAAATGTTTACATTGTAAATATTTGTAACTGTATGATTATTCACCCCTGTAATTATCTAGCCAGATATCAGATTAAGAAAATTTTGTGCAATCTGTATCATTACAATGCAAGAGAAAGATTTAAAAGTCATTTAAAAATTAAATAGAAAAAATAAAATTTATCTACAAATTTGCTAAGGTAGGAGTATAAATCTTTCTTTAAAAGTGTATTTTATTTTGGCAATTACTGTCACTCTGTATAGTATAATCATTAACTGAATTAAAACTAATTCAAACCAATTTAAAGAAACATGTAGGACAATATTAGAATTAGTATTAGTATTAGAATTAGTATTACTCAGCATAAAAATCCAAATATCTAGGGGAAAAACTCATTGTAAAATTACCAATGATGTTATTAACAAATTGAGTTAAAATTTTTTTCATTTGTTTACATTAAACTGAATACTATTTTCTTTTTATATTGCTATCTTTTGCTTTAAGGTTTCAAAATCTGTTTATATAGTAAATGTCTGACTAAGAGTGTTATTAAAGGCATCTACACATACGATAAAATATGTTTGCTTGTTTTTATAATAAACAGGCTCATCTTTTACCAGGTAGGCCATTAAGACCAATTAGCTAATAAATACTAATATAAACAACTATAGATGATACTTACGCCGCATCTCATTAATGACAAACATTGGTTTAATAACATCCCCAGGATTACTGAGTGCCTGGGTGATATGTGCTTGCATTGTACACATCATACAAAATCCTTCTGCATGACCTGAAAGATAACAGATAATAATCCTCCAAATTAGTAAAATATGACTCTACATACACATCAAGAGATACTGCACTCCTGAAATGAAATAATAGTAACAGCTATCATGTGTCATGCACTGAACCATATGCTTTTGTTCACTGTCATTTAATTCTCCCAAAATCTAACTGATAAGTATATACTGACTCTATTCTACAAGAGAGGAAACTGAAGTTCAGAGTTAAAAACTTGCCCAATGTCATGCCCTGGCTGGGTGGCTCAGTTGGGTGGAGCGTCGTCCCATACACCAAAAGATTCCAGGTTTGATTCCCAGTCAGGGCACATACCCAGGTTTCGGGTTCGAGTCCTGGTCAGGGCACATATGGGAGGAGACCAATCTATGTTTCTTTCTCATATCGATGTTTCTCTCTCTCTAAAAATCAATAAAAACATATACTTGGGTGAGGATTAAAAATAATTTTTCCCCATGTCAAAAAGTTATTAAGTGGCAGACACATAACAATCAAATCATACTCTAATTTCAAGGCCTGCATTAACTACTCTCTATACTGGAAAAATGATATTTTTCACACACTGCTATTTGTCTCACACAGGAAAAGAATGTCTCCCATACTGGGGATTAAAAATCTCTCTATAAATATTTGGCTTTTTTGGCCACATACGGTGGTCTCATTGCTGCTGCTGCTTTTTTTTTCTTTCTTTCTACAACTTTTTATTTATTTATTTATTATTTTTTAAATATTTTA